TAATGTCACTGGGATATGTAGCCGGAAAAAAAAAAAAAAAAGGATTTTTTAGGAACTTAACGAAAAAAAAAGTTCTGTAAAAAAGAATGTGGTAGATTATTAAGGAGGAACCATATAGTTGATCAGGCTTGGTTCAAATCGACTGGGAAAAAACCCCTCCTGGGAAATTTTGCTGTATCTCTGTTGACGACATATGCAGATGAAACAACCAAAAAGGTCTTTAAAAAATAGTAGACCAAATTTAACCCACAGGCCAATGTTAAAACAAAACGAATGTTGTTCTTACCACATTCTTTAAGCTTGGCGCAAATCCTTAAATGTAAGCAACCATAAACATAAAAAATATGTCTAATATTCAATGTTTTTCATTGTGCAGACCAGACAGGTTTAGACTTTACACTTTGACTTATTAGCTATCAACATAAACTAATCACAAATTACTTTCTAGATCATATGGATCCCTTAAATTAGGAATCCTTTCTTTGGAATCATCCAAACAGGACAAAACTGTGGCACGCATTTAAGACACAAGAAATAATTGTGATAGTATCACTGGTTAAAAGAGTTATTGTGGGTGAAAAGGTAAATATGAGATTGTTTTTCATCCTTCAAGGGTAGGGAAAATAATTTTTCACAGCTGCAGGACAGGTTGAAATATGGACCTCAAGGATGTTCATTCAATGAAAATTAAAGATAGAAATAGATTAAAATAGTATAAAGCAAAAATGAAAACAAAATAAAGCCTTTTATCTGGAATAAAGCTACACTACTAGATTAAAATTAAACAAGCCTTTCATTTTCAACACATGGTTTTAAATGTTTCAAACATTATATACAGCTTTTATATTCGTTTTTATTTGCCTTTTGACAGCCGTATCTATACGCAGGAAGCTGCCAGTCAAGCAGGGGAAGAGGAGGAAATGTAGACAGAGATCATGGACTCCTTTCCTGTTAATGAATTGAGAGGAATAGATTTTATGAAGCTGAGTCGTATTGACCTGTGGCTGCCACCTACTTCTTAGTTTCATAACATAATCAGCTCTTGACACATGATTATAATAACCCAGTGCGATTTACTGCACTCTCTGCAAACACATTGATTTTTCTGAACAGCTCTGAGAACCAATTACATAAATATTGCGGCATAATTTGTTTACACATTACTAAATTACTGAGAGATTAAAAGTGAAATAGCACGGTTCATACCCTGTATAACAAAACTGCAAGAGAGGAAATTAATATAGATTCAAGAGGCCCTTAGAGACGTGTGCGGTAAAAGGGAGAAGAAAAAAAAGAGACAACAATCTATAAGGAATGCTTGCACTTGGGTATTCTCTCTACAGGTTAGCCAGATGTTACATTCAACATTCATTGGGGCCTAGGTAATTAATATGGTCTTTAATTAGATTTGCATATGAATATCGATAGACTCTGATCCCTCCGAGGGTTTCAGCTTTCTCACAGTTAGGCTTGGATATGGACAGTTTTCCTTTAATTCACTGATTCACCAAGTTGCCTCCTGGAAACTTCAGCAAATTTGAGTCAGTGTTTTAAAAACCAGGATTGGAACATATTAGAAGCCTCTATACTGCACCTCCTCTCCAGTGAGGCCAAACTGCTAAAAAGCACACCAACTTTTCTGCAGAAATGTGTTTCACTGACCTTTGACGGCCCACATTGATCCGGTGTACTGAGTGGCCATTTCCGCACAAACAAACATATATAATTGGTATTGGGTTCCAATGGTGCTCTTTCAATGTCTTGAGGATGCTTTGCGGCAATATAAATCAATTCACACTTATAGACACGATATGGGTGCATTAGTGCTGACTGGTCATTTGAAGATGTGCAGTGAGACTCAGAATTCAATAGACCTTGATCAGGCACAGCCAATCGTTCTACATTAATCCATAGTTTCTGTCAGTATGCAGGTGTTTTAGATGGTTATATAAGAGAATTTAATCTCAAAGCCTTTGATTTTGCTTTTTTATTTGGTTGTTTTACTTGCCTGTATTTTTGAATGTGTGCTTTGTTTAAAAAATGGTATCTTGCCTGGTTTGCTTAACAAATGCAGTACTTTAGACTGTATGCCATCATAGTGTTGAAAATAAAAGCTCCCCTATGTTGTTTACACAGTATTTTATTTGCATTTTAGCAGCAGTCAAAACAAAATGTGATAAATCAACATTTCTGCTTTTAATGATTTTTTTTATTTTAATGCTTTTTATTGTTTTATGAGGTGCTGTATAGTCAACGAACATTTCAGATCTCCAAGGTGATTCTAGTCTGGTATTTTTAGATTACTGTGTTGAAAGATTTTGTTATCCTACTAACAATGAACAGATCCCTACGTAAGTTAGACTTTAAATATTTATTTTAAAGAAAGCAGTTTCAGTCCTCTAGGTCCCCACAAACCCCATTTCCAAATGGGGCTTGTGTGCAGAAATGGAGGCCGGGTAAGTTTGTATGTATTTCAGTGACTGCCATACAACTACAAACGTAACATAACAATTTTTTATGTTTTGGGTTAGAGATGTAACAATACATCTCTACCCTATCGATTTATGTTGATCTATATTTTTAAGACATTTTTTTTTAAGAATAATGTCTTTAATTCAAGCAGCTATTTTGATATACTGTAGATACCACATCATATCAGGTACAGACTTCTAAATTTAAATAAATCAAAACAGTACCAGGTTGTAGTATGTTGCGATATTGGGAAACATTGTATCAGCATCTAAACAAATCAACACAATATTTTGATAAAGCTAGTAATTTACCCTCCTGATAAGTAGCTTCTTAAGTGAGAAACTAGTAGAAAAATTTTTCAAAAGCAGTACATTGTGATGAAAAATGTCTAATAAATATATATATATATATATATATATATATATATATATATATATATATATATATATATATATATATATATATATATATATATAGTCCACATTTTCCTTAAAAGCCAGTTTCTTTCCTTTGACATATTTTACAATACTGGCAATATAATAGTGTCAATATATCAATTTAGCTGTAATATAATTAAAGAAGAGAAGCCGAAAATACATTTTGTAAAAAAAATATGTTCCATATTTGCTTTTGTATTTAATCTAAATCATGTGTAGCATGAGAGAAACGATATCTTGGAAAATTAACACAAACGTAATTTCAGAATCCAAACCAGCCTGGCCATATGTGAAATAATTCTGCCCCCTAAAGCTACTAACTGGTTGTGCCACTTTGCTGGGAGCTGCTGCCATCAAATGATTTTGATAACCGGCAGTCACTCTTTTATGTCACTTTAGAGAAATGTGGTGCTTCCTTCTTTTAAAAAAAACATGTTCCAATTAACCTAAACTAAAACAGTTGTTGTATCAAAGGCCTATTTAAGGTTATTGCACTGTCAGCAGAATTCAGTTTTTTGTCACTTATTTCAAGTCACCCAGATTTGGAAGCTACAAAGCAGACCTAGACCATGGAAGTAAATGTAGTTTTAGTTTTATACAAGATTTAAAATGATACACACCTTACTAAAAAATTAAGCTTTTGCCTTATCACAGCATATTTTCACAAATTTTTGGTGACACTTTATGCAGTTTGGAGTTCCAAAAGCCTTCTTGACTGTCAGTGAATTTTTTTTCTCACCTGTTTCTGGATTTAATTTAGATCAATGCCTGACGTTTTGCTTTTTGAAATATTGTTTTCTTACTTTGTGCTGTCAGAGAGGTACCCTATAAAGTGTCTTTTAAATCCATAGGTTAGATACTAATTAGAACTGAATATAAAAATATAGTACATTTTACCTTTATTGATCTGAAACAAAATGACTAGAAACATCTGTCAGGTAGAAAACACTTTTTCACAACCCTCTAAATCACTCTTAATTATTTGGAAAGCTTTACATAGACAGGCTCGAAGTAAAGAGTTAATGGCTGAATGATAAAAGCAGGAGATCTCTTCCATGTATTTTTATTGAAAAGTGAAAATATATCTTAAGGACTCTGCTATTTCCTACCAAGATTTATCCTTTTTTAACCACACATTCTACTCAAGGATTTTCAAAAGTCTTGTTTTTCCCAATTATTTTCCATTTATGTTTGAGAGAGAAAATGAGAGTCTCTGTTTACGTTTCTCATTTTGGCTAGAGGTTATTTTATTGGTCAGTGCTGGAAGGAAGATGGGTGCTAGCTATTACCTGTCCACTAAGCAGCTCTGCGCTGTTGTTTACTCAGCTGTAAGGCCTAGATCTTCTGCATTAGGGGCAAAAGGAGAAGGTCACTAAATATTTCATTTCCTAAGTAAAACACACTTACCCTTGTCAGCCTAAAAAAAAGAAGCGAAAGAAATAGGTTGTAGTGACGAATGTGCAATCAGCCTGATTAACCCATTATTAGTTGTGCAAAGGATCCACAGAAGAGAAGAAGAGGCTGTTTATATGTCTTGCAGTTAAAGTTATAAATGTGATGTAAGGCAAAGGTCTTATGAAGCTTTGCCTTTGCAATTTGGTGTAATAGAGTATTTATAACCTTTTTTTTATTTTCTGTCTTAGTTACATAAGTGTTTTATCCACATTGTAAACCAAAAAACATAAATTGCAAATTAGTTTAACCCTAAGAGAAAACAATTCACCAGCTTCTTAAAACTTCAAACTTCAGTTATCCCCACTTTTACCTCTTTGTTTACCTTGTTGCCAGCAGATGGTGCTACAGTGTCTTCACACTGCATCTACACTCTTATAGTTAGACACCATATGTTCTGCTCTGACGGCCTTCCACTGCCATGCAAACACTTGTAAAAGAAAATAGAAAAAACTTTATCTCTGCTTTATTTTTAATTTTTGCCACAAAAAAAGTTTTTATTTTTATTTTTTTTACTTTCTTTTTAGAAAAGAAAAAAATAAGTTTATTCACAGGATGTGATTCAGGGTATTAAAACTGCAGTGCATTGACTTTTTTTTTCTTTTTCCTTCGATGAATGAGATCAGCCAATGTTTTTTGGTCCCTGTTGTGTCCTGCAGCTGCAGCCTGAGAACCAGTGGACTCAGTATACAGGGTTCTACTGCATGGATTGGAGAGATGAGCCAAATGTCAGAGCTAATATGCACAGATGTGGGTAAGAGTGTTAATATCTTTGCTTTTAACCCCTTGGGAGTGGACAGGTTAATTATTAACTTTATGTGCTGGTATCTATTTTTTCTGATGTGATTTCTGATACTTTTAAGGAAAAAATGTATTTACTTTATTTGGATCTTATATTTTTTGTTACCTGATTATAATTATTATTAATATTATTATTATTATTATGAAATCAAGGTGGATTTATACATTTTTGGTGTTGAGCATTGAACATCAGGCTCCTGGTTGGTGGGCTGAGGTGGTAGACTATAGCATGTAAGCTATTAAAAAGGAGGAATGTGAAAAAGCGTTATTGCCCACACTTCATGTGAATGGAAAAGGCGTTAAAGAAATGACAGCGTACAGTGGGTGGTAGGGCCTCAGCGTAGCCCGGGAGGAAATGGAATGAGAAAGTGCAGTCAGGCACACCACTCATTCACCATGACAAATGGGAGAGGCCTAGGCCAAGGGGGATACCTGATACCCCACGGTGGGCTGTGTGCACCTGCCTGGGCTTCGTGTGCGCCAAGATGGAAATAAACCTTAACCACTTGTAGCAGCAAACCTCTGCTGTTTGCAAAAGGGAACATAGTTAAATAGAAAACAAAAACATTCATGACACAGTTATTGGAAATCAATTCAAATTGTTAAGATTTGTGTGAAGATTGTAAAAGTATCATCATGTTTTTAGAAAAACCAGATGAAAGAAAAAATTAAGAGACAAAAATTATTTACTTTACAATAATACTTTACTACTAAGAAGAACTACTATTAGTGTGCACTTTTAAAAAACGAATAAGCATTGAATAAAATAATCTCCGAGTTCATAAAACAAATAATACAACATGAGGAAAATGTCTTTTAAAACCATTGTTGTAAATCAGCCCTAACGCAACCAGTCAAAGTACAAAAATACTTTTACTATATTTTCTAAATACATCGTAAATTTTAGAGACATGAAAGCAGTTCTTATAAAATATTGCAAAAGCTCAGATACATTATTAATAATGAATACTTTAAATACATAAAATACATTTACAAAAGCTATTATTACATATAACGTTCTTCTATTGTGTTTTGTAATTAAAATGTAAACATTTTTCCCTACGTTTATTTCATTTTCCAAATGGGCCTTATGACTGCGCAGATAATTCAAATGTAAAAAGTTTAACCAAATAATCTTAATGCTATGTTTAGAGAAGGCTTGTAGAAATTTCCAAAAAGTGAAGAAACAAAATTCTTCAGCCGTCTCATTAAGGATCACCATGATTTCAAATAGAAGGTCACAAGTTGCACATCATGGGGCTCCTGACTTCTGCATGGATCAAATTCCGGGAGCATATTAAATCTTTTGGGAACTCCTGGGAATTATCTATAATCCAATTGTGTATATATGAGGACACAACAGTTAAACAGCAGAGAATCAGCCTTCTCTCCACATATGCTGACATATAGCTGGGAAAGCAATGGCAGACTTTAGGTTTCATTCTGCCAGGAGTGATGAGGAAGGATTTTGCTTACAGTACTTGTGACGCAGACAATAGAAATCAGATGTAGTCACAGCAGTTTTCTATGCATGCCATAAAAATATCTATTAACCTCCTCCCAGTTTTTAATTTCAAGTTTCTATTTGTAAATGTCATAATTTTAATATTGAATAACCAATTTTTTCATAATCCTGTTTAATAAATCAAACATAAATGTCTGATTTATTTTTGTTTTTCACTTAGAATGACGGGAAAAAAATCATTTCATTAACATTGTTACTATTATTATTATAATTATCATTATTAGCAGCAGCAGTACTAGTATGAATAGGCTTACTGCCTCTTGACTTGCTTTTATTTGACAAAATTTTGGGTCACTTTTATTTTCCAGTTCTTTGTCAGTCTTGAAGTGCAAAACATTTTATTTTTTTTCACTTTAAGACTGAAGTGTTGGTTGGAGCTGAGCATTTCCTTAATTAAAGGTGCTTGAAACTACTAGAAATCTGCTGCATACGCCTGGTTATATACGGTTTTACAGTTTCAGATTACTTTTAAAGTATATTTTTAGAGATAACATTTGCTGCTTTTTAATTGTATCGGTCTGACTTAACTTAGTTTTGCAAATTAAATCGTACCCCACATAATTTTTAGCATTATTTGACACCGCAGCAAAGTTTTAAATACAGCAGAACAACATTCCTCTTTGGATGATGAAATAGTGACACTTGTAGTTATATTAAAAATGATTAAAAGAATAATAAATAGAGGTAAAGGATTTAGACACAGTCATTAACAGCGTCTGTGAGGTCTTCACTGTTTTTCATCATTGTTTCTACAATCTCTTGTTAAAGTGTGTGTGTGTGTGTGTGTGTGTGCATGTGTGTGTGTGTGTGTGTGTGTGTGTGTGTGTGTGTGTGTGTGTGTGTGTGTGTGTGTGTGTGTGTGTGTGTGTAATCAGATTGCTCTAAGATTCCATACAACAGGAGCGCACATGTTTTGAAAATACTGTTACAATGGCTGTGATTATCCATGGGCTCAGCTCATTTTAGCTTTGTTTGTAAAGGTGATTAAAAGGAAACCACTGAAAATGCAGAATTGCACATTTAACAGTGTTTTATAAGTTGCATTTTTATGGCTCTGAAATTAATCTACAGTAGCAGTAAGTTTTCTTTTTAATTGAGTGGAAAGCATCTGGGTTAATCTCATATTAATCAGCAAGGGTCATTCTCACGGACAGTCATAGACTTGTTTCAGAGAACTGTGCTCTAAATTAAAGCTGACGGCGTTGGTAAATGATTCTGTTTTATTTTGAAAAGTGTTGAAAATCTGCATAACATCTAAAAAAATTATTTTTCCATAGCTTTTCTGAATTCAGGGCTGCAACGAGTTGCAAGATTAGTTAAATTAAAATTGGATCCTCTACATTTTTTGTCCTATAGTCTCCATATCCATATAGAAAGTAAAATGTGTACCTCATATGAAACCTCCATAAGTCAGTTTAGTTAAGGCTTCAGCCTAACAATCCTGACTTTTTGCTCCTAACACTGCTTGTCCACTTTTGTGCAGTTGTTTGTGCTGCATTGTATACATTAATGTTATTTAAAGGATCCGGTGGTTTGCATTACTGGGCTCTGCATTCTTTGCCTATTACATATTGCACATCTCCCAGTTCAACAATTTGACTTTCAAATTGAAATTAAGCAAGAAAAAGGAATAAATATGTTCAGAATTAAGGTCTGATTTTAGAATAAACCTTATGTTGTGCATGAATCATATGGATTAAAACATGCTCTGTAAGTAGATTAGGTCAACTGAACTACCCCCAACCATCTCAGACGGTATGACCCTCAACATTGAAAGCTCAGAGATGTAATCCAGATTCATAATCCAATGATTCTTACAAGCTGTTTTGGGCCATTAATTACTGGGTATTTGTGTTGATTTAATATCTTTCTAATCTCCTTTAAACTGACAGTTGCCGTCTGTTTCACAGCCACGTTGTTTATTGCTTGCTCTCTATTCTTGACAGAAGTTACATCTTATGAGACTAACGACTTATTTTCTTGGGTCGGATAAAAAGTATAAAAAATATTCAAGAGAAGCTGTTTAGCTAAATTTTTTAAAAGGTGTATTTATTATTTATAAAGTTTATTGTGCTAACCTTGCCTTGGTCTAAACTGCAACAAGGGAATTGCACTGATTGCAATGATATTATATTCAATACATTTAAAACCTGAGAAAAAAAGTTTTAAAAATGGATAAATGTGTTTTATAGCAAAAAAGGTGAAATTTCCTTATTTAAGGCTGAAAAAAGTATTCTTGTGAATGTTTTAGATCAACTAATTATAAATACTTAAAAATTGTTTTTAAACCTGGTTCGCATTTTTATAAACAATGAATTAAATGTATTTAACAGTATAATATATATGATCAAAATGTGTTGTAAAAAACTGTGTATTTAAAGAATGAAACAGATCATAAAGAATCTCTCCATAGTTTTATCCATGTGGGTGTGTGTCGGGGTGTGTGTGTGTGTGTGTATCTTGTAGTTTCCAGCTACATATTTCAGAAATAAAACCTTTAGAAAAAAGGTTTATCACAGCTTGTGAATATTGTCGAATCCAACAGGTGGTACTGAGAATTTTGACTTGGAGGTATTTACTGTCAATAGTACTTTAAGGTAATTGACTTGTCATAAAGCTTAGGCTGATAATTACCCTTGCTATTTTTATTTAGTTTTATTTTAAGTGGATTCTGCTGCTGGAGGACTTCTTTAGTCCTCTGACTTGCTCGTCTAATATTATTAGATGCTATGAGTTGAGCCAGAGCAAATCTGTTAATGCATAAGACCATAAGAACCTCTTATGTTCAAGCCAGGTCAGAGAGAAGACACAGCAGATTAATATTTGATCATGCAGAGGGGGCCCTTAATCAGATCTGCTTATTCCTTCAGCTGAGGGCTCTGCTTCAATTACCATAATTGTTGTGTTAAACATGCTTGTTTTTTTGTTGTTCTCTACGGTTAGTGGTAGGACGTGAGCGTGTGCTGTGAGAGAGGGATTCCAGCAGCAAACCCAATTAATGCAGGATGGATGGCTGGGCAAGCTGAGGGACGAGGAGGATATTACGGGGAGGAAAGGGAGGGCTGTGGGCACAGGTTCTGCTCCAAGCCACAGTTGGTGGCATAGCCCCGGGCAGCACAGGTAACTCCAGCCAACCAGAGCTCCCTAGGAGGGCAGCCTGCCCTGCTATGATGCTCGCTCTGCTTTGCCCCCAGCAGCACTGAATCACACAGAAATCAAATTGGCGCAGAACATTCACCATTTCAGCCCACAGGTTTTCATTCAAGTTCAACAACTGTCATTGTTCTCTTTGTCATTTGGGCTTCTAACTGAAGAGTTTATTTTCTGTTTGCTTCTCTGTTGTCTGTCGCTCTATGACTGTCAGCAAAGGTTGATATTTAGAAAAAAACACAGTGTGCTTGTTCTTTTTCCATAACTGCATGGTTCCT